CCAGGTGGAGTAGGGAGACAAGTGTTCCCCAGAAGCCATCTCTCTGTGGGAAGAAGGGCTTCAGAGACCAGAGAATCACAATTACAGATTGTATGAGAGTGTAGCTGGAGAGAGAGAGGGAATGTGTGTGTATGTGTGTGTGACTCAGCAGACAGGAGGAAGTGGTGGGAAGCCTGGAACATCAATCTGGAAATCTTGGAGGTGGCAGCGAAGTGATGACCAGGATTGAAGTGTAACCCTCCAAACAGTTAGGAAGTCAACCAGCGATGAAAGAGGAGGCCGCTGGAGGTGAAAGGTCAATATCGGCACGAAAACCAAGTGGCGAGAGCCTAGAAGAATCTTGTCAGCCAGGTACCAAGCCCAGGAAGAAACATGACTGTGAGCCCGAGGCTTGGAGATGCTGAGGGAAGTGAGGGCCAGAAGGTGGTGGTAGAATCGACAGTGGAGGTGACTTCAGAAGAAAGGATGCTGGGAAAACAAGGCCTGGGAGTGGTGTTGGGGTGGCTGAGAAGGAAGGAGGGACAGGGTGTGTGTGAGGCTGTGGTGATCAGGGGGGAAGCAAGCTCTAGTACCCCACTTCAACACTCCTGTGATGACGCACCCTTTCCTGGTCCCCTCAGGCAAATGCCACCTCTCTTCCGAGAGCACAGTACCCCTCCTTCTCCCTGTCAGGACAGGCCCAAATAGGGAAAAGGGTCTTCCCCAGCCCCCAATAGTCAGGGTTAGGGCAGCCATCTCTGGGCTGATGTCACAGCAGGCCTCCAGCAAGATCCTGAGTCTGTTTTCATTCCTGCTCCATGAGACGGAAATAATTAATGAGAACCAGAGAGGGGCAGGGAGGGAAGAGTGGAGGGAGAAGGAGGTTTGCCTGTCAGCCCTGTGCCCCCACCTCTAAGCTGGAACCCTATTTCATTCTGGCCGTCCTCCTGCCGATGCCTTCAGCACCTTCTCTACCCTCTGCTTCCTCTCCATAAAAAGAAAGCTGAGGCAGTCCTCATGCAGAGCCCCTTCCTGAGGGCTGGAGACCACTCTCAAATGGCCCAGCAAGGACCTGCAGACACAGCACTTCTGAGTTTCCTTGCGCCCCTCCCAAGGTCTCTTGATGTAATGGGAATAACAAGAATTATACATAGGTCAAGTTGGGTTCAGATCTTGGCTTTGCTCCTGACTGGCTCTGTGACCTCAGGTAAGTTATTTGACCTCTCTGAACTAGTTCTAGAAATGGTGATAGAATCCCACCAAGTGCTTAAAAATACAGGTAGGTAGAGGAAGAGAAGAATGCTCTGGTAATAGAAATATAGAGGGTGCTGAAGAAGGAATGAATACTGTGGAATTATAGTTGCTCAAGTTAGCCCTCTGGGCCATCAGAAGCCAGGGCCACCTAATAATAAATTGTGGGAGAAGGGGTGCTTGGTCAATAGAATATGTCCATAAAGGAGCCTGCTCCTGCTTCAGGCTGAGTAGTCTGAATGGCTGTGCACCTCTAGCATGCCCTGCTCTACCTGCCCCAGGACCATTGCATATACCATCCTCCTTTCTCTTCTTGTACTATATTAATGTCCTCCCCTGAACTGTGCACATTTCCAGCTCACAGAGGCTGTGGCTGGTTCATTCCCACACCCTTAGGCCCTTACATAGGAACCAGCCTTAAAGCAGGATCCAATAAATGAATGAAGGAGGGTCAAACACCAAAAGGCTAGAGACCCGTATGGTAATGGGGGCCCCAGCTCCCTCTGCTGGGCATCAGAGGACAGATTAGAGGGCCCCCAACTCTGCCCAAAGCTGGCTCAGCTCCCTGAGTATGACTTCTTAAAGCATCCCACTTTTCATAACATTTACCTCAACTTGTGATTATATACATTTCTTTGTATGCTGATTTAAATACCATCTGCGCTCTTATTAGATTTCATGGCCTTTGAAGCCGTGGCCATCTCTGTTCTTGTTCATCCCCCTATCCCACAGTGCCCAGTACTATACAGTGCCTGACAGAGTCAATGCCCAATAAGAGTTTGAAGGAGAAATAAATGTTGGAGGAGCGGACCCACCTCTCCCTGATCCAATAGGTCCAGGACCAGTGTGTTAAGGAGAGAAAATGCACACTCCAAGCTGGATTCTCTACCCCATAATGAGCTCTGTACGCAGTCCCCAGATTTACCCAGGTTCTAGCAGCCCTGTCCTATAAAACAGCCCAAGACCCAGGTCAAAGCTGAGGTACAATGTCCAGCGTCCTCATGTGGGTCACCTATTTCTCTGCCCCCTTCTTTTCCCACCCTAAAGGCAGCTCCTGATTTCTCCTTTCCAGACACCTCAAGGGGGTTGAAAGATTTCCTGAAATGTTTTGGTTTATTCAGCCCTTATTATGTGCCAACACTGTTCAGCATTTTCCTATCTATCCCTTTATTTTAAACTTCAAATTGATAAAAATAATAGCCACCATTTATGGACACTTACTATGAGCCCAGACATACTTGACGTGCACTAAGTGACACAATGTTTGAACAACTTCAAAAGGTGAAAAGGATTCTGAGCCACAGAGAAGTTAAACCTGCCCAAAGTCACAGGCCAGGAAGCTGGGCTTTGAACTCAAGTCTGCCTATAAGCAATCTCCAGCCCTTCCCACTGCACCTCCTGGTCCTGTTGCTCCAGATTTTCCAGTTTGTAATCCAGAATCTAGGAACCTTGGTGGCATAGTGCATTACACACAGGACTGCTAACAGGAAGATTAGCAGCTCATTTCTACCAGCCACTCAGCAGGGGGGAAATGTGCTATCTTCCCATAAAGATCTATTGCTCTCGGGAAGGAGGGCCACTGAGTTGGAAAAGCAGCAGTTGAGTTTTGGGGGTTTTTAAATCCAGATTCAGGGCACCTAGCCTTTGATCCCAGCATCTTTTCCTGGGGCTAACCTGGAAGAAGGGATATAATGTGGAACTGAGTAAAGCTGAAAACAGTTTACTCTTCAGGGAACTAGCTGTCTCTTCTTGAGTTCAGAGCCAGGCCAGGCAAGAAATGGGCCATTTGGGTAGAGGGGATAAAGTGGGTGGAGAGCTGCTCCACCCACTAATATGGGAAATCTCTCTTTCTGAAGGTCCCCTACTCAACCCCCACCCTATGAGTGTCTCCTTAAGCAAAGGACATAGGACAGCTAGGTGTCCTCATTCTTCTTTCCTAATGACAAACCCACCCCTCTTTTTAACCCAGATCAGAGGTCTGAAGGTTCAGTTTGGTCTTTCAAATGAGACTCAGTTTGCCTGCCCCTGGGGAACACTGGCATTGTCTTCAAGGAAGGTTTCTCTCCTTTCTTCTTTGCATGGCTCCCCCAACCTTATTTCAGTTTCAGGGAGCTCAAATAGTCTATAGGTTGAGAGGTGTGCCAGGGAGGGCCCGTAATTGAAAAGGTGCAGTATTGGTGCGGCTTGGGTAAGTGTAGGGCATAGTCCGTAATGGGTTCTAATCCACCAGCAGCTGGCAGCTGGCTGTGGGGTGGGTCAGCGCACTTCTGAGGGTCACTATGAAACTAGTGACTTTTTGATTTTGGCACAAGGTACTCTGGGTTTGGGGGCTTAATGCACAGTCCCACTGTCCTAGTGGACCCAGGAACGGGGGATATATGTCTCACCTCTTCCAGCCGAGCCCCTAGTCCAGTTAATTAGCATACTGAGGGGGTCATCCTAGGAGACATGGACTGGACCGTGGGCCCTTCACCAGCCCTAAGTCACAGGATCAGGAAGTGGACGCTTCAGCAGTAGCTGGGCGCACTCCCTCCTCTGGGAATGCATAGGGGATGCCACTCAGCGCCCCTCCCCGCCCCGCCTGACAGCCACACCTATCCCTGTTGATAGCTACAGCATCAGGGCCTAGAGAGACCCAGCACCAGCATCTCTGACAAAAGCCCCTTCCTCGCCTTCAGAGGGGGTGGGACGCAGTTCCCTTCCCATCCCCCTCCCTGAAGTGCCCCACCCCAGGCGCTGACACTACCACGCTGTGCAGAGGGTGGGGGCAGCCAGAGACCAGGCTGCTGTCATCCCACAGCCTGCTGCAGCCTAACTGTGCCTTATTCTCTGCACCTGAAATAGCTTCCTGACCTGTAGACCCATCCACTCATTGTCTCCACTCTCTCCCCTTCCCCCAATGATGTCTGGGGTATGTGAACCTCAAGATCTACAGCACTGCCCATGCCCATCCCCCGAAGGTCCTGTTTCAGGGCCCCTTTCTAGCAGATAGCTTGGCCATCCAAACACCCTGCCAACAGCTGCACCTGCTTCCCCACCCCCACTGCCTGTTCCCACCTCCTTGGCCTCTAGCGCACCCTTCACCCCTTTCTCATTTGACATTTCCAGAAGCTGTTTTCCTAACCCTCTCCCTGGTTCTTGATATTTATCCTCTGTCTTGAGGTGGGAATCCCTGCCCCGGGCCCCACTTAATGGCTCAGTGACTTTGCTAAGTGACTTAACCTCTCCCTTTCCTTCTCTGTAAAAAGGAGATAAAAAAAGACTTCTCTGGCTGGGTTGTTGGGAGATTAAATAAGATCTTGGTATAAATGGGAGTGTTTAGCTCAGCGCCTGGAGTATAGTAAAAGCTCAATAAAGAGTGTCTGGTCTTCTGGCTTGGGGGTTGGTGAAGGATCTTGTCTCCCCCACTGAACACAGCTCAACACTAGTGGGCTCTTATCCCCTTTGTCCCTGGTCACGTGACCCTGGGAACCAACCAAACCCATCTCCTCTCAGGGACAAAGGGTGTGAAAGGGCTGTCTGTTACCAGGCTCAAGTGTCCACAACTCCTTGCCCCAGGCTGGGCTAGTATTTTCCCCCTTGTGATCACCCTACTTGCAAGAAATTTGTTAGAAGCTCAAAGAAATGTGGCCAAAAGCACAAAAGCTTAGTTGAACCTAGCTGGGCCTGGATCTGGTCTCCCAACACTTGGCTTGGGGAAGTTCTGAAGGGCTGGGAGCCGTCAGGAAGTCCTGCCCTGGGCGGCGGAATAAGAAGGGGTCAGAGAATCGTCTTATTGCCTTTATTCCGTGCTGGCCCAGCTGCCCTCTCCGGGGCACAGGGCCAAGCTTTGACACACTCATTCATGCTCTCTGTGCAGGCCAGTGCGTGCACACATTGCACACTTACACACACACTCACACGCATCCGATTTCTGGCTCTGAGAGTCTCTGGGGGGGAAGGGGCTGCTCCTCAGCCTGCCCCTGCCTGCCCTTTTACGACAGCACCAAGGACAGGGGTGGGGGCAGGGCCCTCAGCCCCCAGAACAACAGTCCCTGTGCAAACTGGAGGTGCCAGCTGGCCTTAGGGTAGGGGTGTCACATTTCCCCTTTCTTGGAGCCCCCCCTCCTCCAGTTCCTGAGGGAGGGACTGCTTTCTGCCTACCTGGTGGGGCCAGACCCCTGCCAGGGCTGGGCCCTGTGGAACCCAGGCTCACCCTCCACTGATCCCAGGAGGACCTCCAGCATTGAAGCATAGCCAAGTCTGAGGTTGTGGGGATCCCCCACTGGAAAGCAGGAAGACCTGGGCCCCAAAGGTCTGGGGAGGGGTCATCACTCCCTCTCCTAATCCATCTTCAATATGAAGAGGTTTGGAGCACACTTCCTGGGGAGGGAGCACAGGACTGGAGGAGCCCTATTTGGGAACTCTCCCCAGACTTCCATCTTCTGGCCACAGCCTGACGCTCGGCATCAAAAGTCCGGCTGGCTGCTCAGAGTCTGCGCTGTGCTTGGAGGGGCACCCACCACAGGAGGCGGGTGTCAGACCTGTACGGGCAGCGTCTGGTTCATTTGCAGCCGCATGTCCTGGATACTGCTGAGGATCTTCTTCTGGTGGCCTGCCAAGGTGACCCCGATCCGGAGCAGGTCTCTGCAAAATGGACCAAGGTCAGGGTCAACCCGTCTCTCTGTGCCCCGTTCCACTAGTGCCAGGCCTGAGCCCATGCCCCAGAGGCGCACTCACTCTGCAGTCATCTGGGCCACCAGGTCAAATGATGCAAACCCTGCGCTGATGAAGCTCTCTTTGTATCGCCCCATCTTGATGGCATCCAGCCAGTCGCCAACTGTCGTGAAAGTTGTATAATCTGGAACCGTGCGGTCCAGGAGGGGCTGTGACATGCTGTGGAGAAGAAAGGGACGCGGTGAGTCCTCAGGACAGAGCTGCCAGCTCCAGAGCACAGAGGGAGGACAGAGAAGGTACTAACCCGGACTGGGCAGTGGCGATGACCTTGAGGCTGGCAGCGTTGCGGATGAGCTTGTCCAGGGTGTTGACAATCTGGGAGAATTTGGGCCTGAGGTTCCGGTCCCTCACCCAGCAGTCCAGCATGAGCTGGTGCAGCGCCGTGGGACAGTCCATGGGTGGGGGCAGCCGGTAATCCTGCTCCACAGCATTAATGACCTGGCCGAGGGCAGGGAATCAGAGTAAGCCATGACCTGGCACCCCCGCCAGCACCCACCTAACAACCGCTCTGCACGGCCCCACTCACATCCTGGTTGCTCATGTCCCAGTAGGGCCTCTCTCCATAGCTCATGACTTCCCACATGACAATTCCGTAGCTCCAGACATCACTGGCAGACGTGAACTTTCGATAGGCGATGGCTTCCGGGGCGGTCCAGCGAATGGGGATCTTCCCACCCTGGTGTGGGGGGCACACTCCCTTCACCCTGTGACTCGGGGCTGGTCCCCAGCCCCAAGCCCCTGCCTGAGCAGCCCCACCCCGAGTCTCCCTCCGGGCTTGTACCAGGGAGCTGGTGTAGGTGGGATCAGAGGGGTCATCCTCCAGGAAGCGAGAGAGACCGAAGTCGGACACTTTGCAGACCAGGTTGCTGTTGACAAGGATGTTTCGGGCAGCCAGGTCCCGGTGCACGTAGTTCATCTCAGACAGGTACTTCATGCCAGCAGCAATGCCTCGGAGCATGCCCACCAACTGGATGACTGTGAACTGCCCGTCGTTGAGCTGCAAACAGCGAGCAGGTAGGTTCATGGGCCTGGTCCCTGCTGCGGCCTGCCTGCCCACCCTCTCCTCAGGGTCCATGCCTCATCTATCCCTGTAACACCCCAGCAGACAGTCAGAGTAAGAAAGCTGGTGCCCTACTACATGCTAGGCATTTTTGTATACATTGCAATTCACCCTCAGGAACATGCAAAATAGCTTTTGTGTCTCTCATTTTAAGGGAGGTCAGGTGGCCTAGTGGTAAGGAGTTGTGCTGCCAACTCAAAGGCACATGGTTTGAATCCACTAACTGCTCAGCAGTTGGGAGAAGGATTGGCAGCCTTCATTGCAATTTACCGCCTCCGAAAACCCACTGGAGGGTCAGGTATGAGTCACCGCCAACACGATGATACAGTAACAACAATTCTCATTTTATATCAAGGCAGCTGAGACCCAGAGAGATTAGGTAACTTGCCTGTCTGTGGTCTCACAAGCTGTAAGAAGCAGAGTTAAGGTACGAACGCTGGTTCTGAAGGGCACGGTTTTCTCCCTGCACTTCAGTAAATGTTTATGGACTTGGATAGGATGGATGTGCCTTGTGAGGGTGGTGGCTGGTCTGAGCCTGCCCTTTGTGGGAGAGGAAGGAGGTGGGCCTGGCTCTTACCCGGAGGAAGGAGTCCAGGGCGCAGTTCTCCATGAACTCAGTCAGGATCATCACAGGTCGACTCTTGGTGACCACGCCCTCCAGGCGGATGATGTTGGGGTGGTCAAACTGACCCATGATGGAGGCCTCACTCAGGAAGTCCCGCCGCTGCCTCTCCGTGTAGCCCACCTTCAGTGTCTTGATGGCTACGAACACTTCCCGGCGGCCGGGCTGTTTAAGCCGACCACGGCACACTTCTCCGAACTCCCCTGCAGGGCGCAGGACATGAGCCATTTCTGAGTGTTGACCCTGTACCCAGCCTGCCCCAAGCCTCCCCTGGGGAGATCCCAGCCTCTCAAGCCCACGGTGCCCCAGGGTGACTCACCAGCACCAATCACCTCTTCGATCTTGACACAGGACACGTCGATCTCTTTGGCAAACTCACGCACAGCTTCATTGGGGTCCTCGTAGGTGAAGGGGTCGATATAAACCTTCATTCCAGGAGCAACTAGACAGAAGAGGGGGTCAGGAGAGAGATCATCAGGTCAGGAGCTCTAAGGGAACCACTCATGCCCCACACTCAGGCTCTGGGACACCACCCAGTCCCCACCTCAGGATCTGTCTTAATGGGGGCACATTCGGCAACCTCCCTGCAAGTCTTCTCTGTTAAAGCCCTGCCCCCAGTGTAAGAACCGCAGAGGTGAGAAGCCTAGAATTCAGCTCTTGCTGGTCCTTCTCCCACATCTCTCATCACATCGAGCACCTCTCAGATGCACCCCTCCCCATATCCCCACTGCCCCTGACCTTGCCCAGGCCTTCAACACTCAGACTATTGCAATAGCCTCCCAGCTGGGCTGCTTGCCTCTGGATGCTTTTCCCACCAATCTATCCTGCATACCACTGTCTTCCTTGAACAATACTTTCATTGTATTACTCCCCAGCTTGAAAGCCTTTCCTATTACCTATGGTGGATTCAAGCCCAAACTCCTCTGCTCGCCTTTCACGACCCTCCAAGGACTGGCCCGCAAATACCCAGCCTTGTCTCCCAGCAGCTGTCAAACCAGTCTTCTCTCTGCCCCCACAGTTGGGCACTCTCTCCACCCCACCCACTACCTTCCATGGCTCCCCTAGGCAGGAATGCTCTCCCTCCACCTCTCTAAGCCCTGCTCATCCTGCCTGGCTCAGCTCAGCCAGTGCCTGTTCACCTCCTCCAGGAAGCCTTCCTCTTAACCCTTATTGTCCTTCATAACAGGAACACTTGGCTTAACACTTAATTGCTCTCTAATTGTTTCCTGTGTATATGCATCTTGTCTTTTCTGTAAGACTAATTGCTTTTAGGGGTAGGGGTCATGTCTTATTAGCACCAGAATACTCAGGAAGAAGAATGAACTCAGAGCATCTATAATGAGGAAGGACTCAAACTACCTGGTGTGAAGAGGGGGCTTAGAGTACCTGGAGTGAAGAGGGGCTCAGAGTACATGGTATAAGGGGGTGGGGTTGAGAGTACCTGGAATGAGGAGGGGCTGAGAGTACCTGGAGTGAAGAGGGGCTGAGAGTACTTGCAGTGAGAGGGAATCAGCGTACCTGGAGTGAGGAAAGGGCTCAGAGGACCTGCTGTGGGAGGGGTATGAGAAGATGGCACCTGACTGGACACAGAAGGGAGCTTCTCGAGTACACTTTTAGAGAATGAAGATCTAGGTAGGGAAGCGGTGGCTCCAAGCCTACAGGAAACCTGAGTAGTGTTGAAAGGTTGGGGTGAGGAGGCAAACTCACTGTATTGCTGCAGCTTCTCGGTGTACTCCGAATCGGAGCTGTGGCGTTGTCTCCTAGAGGAGAGAAAGGAGGTGAGACAGGTGCTACAGCTGCTTCTGTCCTGGGCTCACAGCGAGGCAGAGAGAGCTCAAGCGGACAGTCTGGTCACACAGTTGATGGTTACAGTAGCCAGGGGGGTGCTGGGCAAGAGATTCAGTGGACTTTGTCCCTAAACAGTCTTGCTTGTTGGTGTATGCAACAGTGGACGAGCTGAAAGGGCATGGGTATGGACAGAGAGGGCTTTTCCAGAAAGAAAATGGGGACCAGTGAGGCTCTAGGTGAGGGGATAATAAGTCATCTATGTGGCTCAAGGACTCTGGGGTCCTAAGGAAGCCCTAGCAGACACAGGAGCAGCCCGGGGCCAGAAGTACCTGAGGCAGATGACAGCGATGACCACAATGGCAGCCAAAAAGACAAGCCCAGCTGTGGCTGAGCCCACGATGAGGGGCAGCTGTTCCTGGAGCTGATGGGCACCAGAGCCTGGAGAAAAGAGGACCTGGTGAGGCCAGGGGCTGTCGTGTGAACTGGGTTAAGGACAGAGGAGGCAAGCATATATACATACCTCTTTCACTTGTGGTCTCAAACTCAGCTGGGTGGCTGTACTGTCCATAGCCAGCCACGGTGCGGGCCCGGACCTGAACCACATAGCGAGCGTCAGGCCGCAGCCCGTCCAGCTGGACTGAGTTCTTCTGGCTGGTCACTGTGGAGGCGATGCCCTCACTCTGCAATGCCACGAACAGAGAGCACCCTCCGTGAGGTGTTTGGAGACCACCCAGCCCCTGTCCACACCCAGGCCGGCCCCACGGCCCCCTCAGCACTTAAGCCCTCAATCTCAAGGCACCCTACGCCATCTGAAGTTAAACTTCCTTGTTCCATCTCCGCCCAGGGTCACCTTCTGCCCTTCGAGGTGCTGACCTTCTCAAAGTACTTCATCTCGTAGTCCAGGATGACACCGTTGGGCCGCTCTGGGGGAGCCCAGGACAGGGTGAGGCTGCTGCCCGAGCTGCTATGCAGGTGGAGTGTAGGCACTTCGGAGGGGGCTGGGGGAAGAGCAAGGGCTTACCAGGGGTTCCTCAGGGCCTCACATCCTCCCGTCCTCCAGTCCTCCTGGTGGCCCCTCGGCTGGCCTTGAGAAGATGCCCAGGGGGAGATGATCGAAACCCCACCCTTCTGGGGGCCCCTCCTCACCAGCCTGGTTGGTGGTGATGTTCACAGCTGCGTAGCGAGGGGGCAGGGGGCTCTTGCCAGAGACGCCGTTGACTGCCTGCACCTCAAAGGTATAGCGTGTATGGGCCAGCAGGTGGCTGATATGGACCCGGCGCTCCGTCAGGCCCAGCTGCCGCGGGACAAACTCCACGTTGTCATCACAGCGTGAGCAGGCTGAGGCGCCCCCGGTCCCAGGGCTCCCCCGGCACTTCTTGCAGATGACGTTGTACAGGAGGTCATCCCGGCCACCCAGGTCCCGGGGCTCACTCCACTCAAGAATCAGGGAGGTCTCATTCACGTTGGAGATCACACCCCGAGGGGGCGATGGCACCGCTGCAGGGGCGAAGGGAGAGGGCATGAGTAGAGGGGGTTCTGGGATCCCCTACACACCAGATGCCTGCATACGCCAAGGGGCTCCCACCTCCTTGTCTCTGCTTCTGCTGTAAGAGGCACAGAACCTGTCCAAGACTGTCACCAGGCAAATGCCTAACTATCCTTCAAGGCTTAACTTAGTAAGCTGCCTCCTCTTGGAAGCCTTCCTTGATTCAAACTTTCACCATCCCATTATTCCTGGGCATTTGTCTAGCTCAACATTGACCATATTATATGGTGATTATTAGTTTTCACATCTTTTCACCCCACCTAGTTGTGACTCCTTGTACCTGACCTGATTCCTGGCACACCAAAGGCCTGAGCAGGGAGAAAGTGGAGGCTGCCCTAGGGATAGGAGGCACCTCCCCACTCTCCATGCTGGACCAAGAGGCCAGCAGTTCTAGGAAAACAAAGGAGCACTGAACCAGAAACTCTCAGCTGGTTACTAATGCCAGGCTAGGGCCAGTGACAAAATCAAACCCACTACTGTCATGCTTATTCTAACTCACAGCAATTCTATGCGACAGCGTAGAACTGCCTCAAAGGATTTCCGGGGCTATAAGTCTTTATGGGAGCAGACGCCCTTAACCTTCTCCCACCAAGTGGCTGCTGGGCTCAAACCACTGATCTTTCTGTTAGTAGCACACCTCTTACTAATGTGGCCCCAGAAGGGCTGTTGTTAAGTGCCGTTTAGTCAGAACTGACTTATAACTGACCCCTCCAGCAGATTTTTCAGAGGCTGTAAATCACATAGGAAATTGCCCTTCTCTCTCAGAGCAGCTAGTGGATTCGAACCACTTGCCTTTTTCTTGGCAGTGCAACTCCTCACTAGCCACTAGGCCATCAGAGCTCTATCTTCTTAAGAAGCTGGTGGGAGTTTATGAAAGGGATGATGAGTTAGTTGGCTAGGCCAGGTTCTGCCTCAGGGTGGCCACTTCCTAGCTGTGCTGTCTTTATTTAGCATAAGATCTAAATTCTCTGAGCTCCAGTTTTCTCATCTGGAGAATGGGCATTTCACAGCCTGCTGGGCCCGAGGGTGGCCATTCACTCACTGGTACAGGCACTGTCTGCAGAGTCCGAGTCTGCTCGGTAGAAGTTATTGTGGCAGGTGCAGATGCTGGCAGCTGGTGAGGTGGTGCGGCTGTTGGGGGGACATGGAAGGCAGGGCCCCTCCCCTTGCTTTGCCTTGTAGCTCCCAGGGGGACAGGCTGTGAAGGAGAAAAAGACCGGGCTCACCTCCATTCTCAGCCCTGCAAATACCAACCCTCCACACCTCTGTGAGAATCTGGCCCCTCCACATGCTAGACTGTGGGGGCAATACTAGCATTGCCTAACTCCAGCTGCTGCCCTTCTGCCCCATGGAAACCCCACGTCAGCGGATTCCTCCCCGCCCTTGTCCCCCCGCCCCCCACCTCTGGGCCTCCCGGAGGAAGACGTCAGCCCATCACCTGGACAGACTGGGCTTGTCAGGGCAGAGAAGAGCGAGGGGAGGAGGAAGCCGAGGGGGACAGGGAGAGACCACCAGCAGGCTGGCAGTACCCTGGACTCCGCTGGGACACTCCCACCCCTCCCCGAAACACTAAGAGAATAATCTCCAAGAAACCTCAAGGATACCCCCAAACATCTAAGGAGGTGGGGCCTCAGAATTTCCCAACCAATCGTCTTCTCCACCCACCGGGAAGCGGACTGGCAGCTCCTTTCTGCCCTTGGGCAGGGGTGGGGGCTTAGGAGGGATGAGAAAAGGAGGGAAAGAAGTGGGCAGGAAGGCTGGGGTCACTCTGAGTTCAGAGGCCCCAAAGCTAGCCCACAGCCCAGTGCCTCAAAGCCCTCCACCCATCCCTCGTTCTGCCTTTTCCATGCAGCCCCTGTACATGGCATGGGCTCTGTGGATTCCCCACATCTACGGTGGCCACATGATTTGTTATTGAAACTGGAATTTTCTGAGTGTGAAAAAGGTTACAAGATAATGGGTGTAAATCTATTCTGTCCTGGACAAACTAGAACATATGGTCCATCTATTCATACATGACAACCCTGAGGTGTGTGTATACAGGGTCACCCAGAGGGTGGAATGCCCAGAGCTGGGGCTGAGCCCTCTGTGAGGTTCAATCTCTTGTCCCCCCAACTAAGGTGATGATATTCTGAGCTCTTCTGAACTAGTGGGGGAGGGGGCAGAGGCCAGGCCAGCCTGGTTGCTATGGGAACTAACGTGCATTTCCTGCCAGGGACCTGCAGAGTGTTAGCCCCTCTTCAGGCTGTCAGGCTCATCACCCCCACGCCTTCTCTCCACTTAGGGAGAGGAAATCTCAGGAAGGTTCCCAAAGAGAAGTGCAGAGGGGCCGTCCAAGGCACTGTTCACCTTCCCAGGACAGCACGGGGTCTCACAGCCAGGTTGAAGCTGCCTAGCCTTGTCACTCATTGCTTAAGGGGCTTCCCCCACACCTCAAGCTCCAGGCTACCTGCCCCAGGGGAGAGAAGCCTAGAGGACAAGGTCCTTCACACCTTCTCAGCATAGAATACTGGGCTAGTTCAACTCTAATATTTCCTGTCTCTGTGGCCTTGAGGACAGAATCTCTCTGCAACTCAGTTTCTTTATTGATAAAGTAGAGGAGATAACTAGAACCGACCTTAAAAGGTGGTGTTGAGACTCAAGGAGAAAGCCCTCTGTGACTGGATCTTATAACTGGAAAGTCTAGTTCTACGCATAGTCTTACCGGCCCTGGCAAACCACCGGAGGCAAGTCACCTAACCTTTTCATGTATAAAATAGGGACAAAGCCATCCCTGTCCTCCAAGTCTCCCAGAGCTGTTGGGATGCATGGCTAACACTGAACATGTCATTAATGCCCTCAGGTGCCATACACGGTGGTTTGGAGGGCTTTCCTTGCACCGACTCATGTAAGCCTCACTAGAGCCTAAGAGGTAATCACTGTTACTGCTCCCACTTTACATGTGAGGCTCCCGGAGCAGATGAGACCCCAGGGGAAGAGAGCCATATAGCCCCTGGGGCCTACCTATCATGCCTGAGGTAAAATGTGCACTGAGCAGGGAGCCGAGTGGGCATCTCTGCCAGCCTCCAGAGTCCTTGACTAGGTTTTACAGATGCCTACTTGTCAGTGATTTTCTAAGTCTCTTTCTATCTTCTGTTTTCTTTCTTCCTATGTTTGTGCCTTATTTCCTCTCCCTCCTCACATTCTCCACACCTGGCACCCACTCTTCCACGTCCTCCCCCTCCACCCTAGACCCCAGGCTAGGCCTCTTAGCAGGCTGGTGGTGCTGGCCTAGACCCTCCCCTTCCACCCTTCCCTGGCTCATCCCAACTCACGGCGGCACTGGGTCTCCTTGGCAGCTGGCTCATGGCCGGTGGCACACGTGCAGGCACCTACTGGCACCATCCACTCCCCGTCTCCATTGCAGTACAGCTTAAGGGGCACTGAGACCTCCACAGCATTAGGGACACAGGTGCCAGGGGCAATGACCAGCGAGGTGGGCTCGGCCCCGGTGAGGGTCTCAGGGAAGAGTGCAAAGCCCGCGATGGTGGAGGCACACTTCTTGTAGAAGGCACGCACGGAGATGAGGGACATGCAGGCGCCCTGGTCCTGGAAGGCCAGGTAAAAGCCGGCCTTGGAGAGTGGTCCGAAGCTGCGCACCTTGGTGTTGACGCGGCCAGCATCAAGCCGAGAGAAGCTCTCATCGGGCGCAATGGTGTCCACCTTCACATACGGGTTCTCCATCCAGAAGGGGCTGGAGGCTGAGGCCACGTCACTGTCGGCTTCGTAATAGAAGAGGTTGAAGGTCTCCTTGCAGGAGCCAGGGATGTTGGGGATGCTGTTGCAGTCACGCACCGTGAACTTGAGCTCCACGTAGACGCGCTGTACGTCCCTCCTCCAGATGAACCCCGTGCGGAGCCAGTTGTTCTGGCTGGACTCGCGCACGTTACACACCTGGTACGTGCGGATGGGGTTCATGGCCTCATCATAGCCGCTCACCTCTTCCCACTGCGCATGGGCCAAGTGAAAAAGACGGTGTGAGGACCAAGCTGGTCCAAGTGCTTGCTACATGCTAGGAACCCACTGTTTACCTTACACTGGGTCGCTGGAGGGGGACTAAATGGATTAAAATTGCACACCTCTACTTGTGTGTAGGGATCTCTGGTGGCTGCATTAACAACCCTGAGGCATATGGTTCGAATACACTAGCTCCTTAGGACAAAGATGGGTAATCTCTCCCCGTGTGATTTACCCCTCTGAAAGCCCGCTGGAGGTTTCCAAATCGACCATATACAACAACAGCAACTGGCAGGGTAAGTCTGAACCTCTTTGTGCCTCAATTTCCCCATCTATGACATGTAAATAAAATTATTCTAGCCACAGTGAGATGTGCAGATAATACATAATTTTATGGGAATAAGGCACTCCAAAGTGGGCTGAGCACATAGCCAATATTCTATGAGCATTACTTCTAATAGTTATTACCTCCCCACCTCAGTTTCCTCCTCCATAAAATAGGGTTAATTGGAATTAAATGAGGCTGTGCATAATTAAATCACTTAATATATGTACCATAAAGGTGTCGAACATAGCAAGCATTCAATAAAAACTTGCTAGTGCTATTACCATCCTGGTAATACTAGTATCCTGGTGGCATGCTGGGTTATGTGCTGGATTGCTAACCAAAAGGCCCATGGTTTGAATCCACCAGCCCCTCCCAGGGAGAAACAGCAGGGCCTTTGCTCTAGCTGCCTGATTTACAGCCTTGGAAACCTGAGTTGGAACTGACTCGAGAGTGGGTTTTATGCTTTATTGCTACGACCATTACATTTACCTTCACAACTTCATGAACACGTACTTTTGTTTTCCCCTTTCAAGAGATAAGCTAAAGCTCACAGAAGGCAGAGACTTATCAAGGTCATATGGTCAGGCCCAGTGACTGCAGGGTCTGCAGACAGAAAAGCTGGGCCATCCTCTCCCTGTTCTGTAGTGCTCAGTGCAGGCATGAAAGAATATTTCAGGGATAGCAGGACTGTATAAATGTACTGGTCAAGAAATGGAGACTGAAGACAGGCTGGAAGGCAAGTGGAGGAAGACTGGGACAAAGATGGGGGGCATAAGGAGGTTGGTTGAGTCGCATGAGATAAAAATATTCACAGAGGACCATCAATGGCAAGAAGGAAGGTGACAGGTGGAGAGGACAAGGAGAGGGCAATATGCAGACGTCAGTAAGCCCTGGTGAGATGAGGAGGGCCTGGCATGGGGAAGTGAAGGGTAGCTTAGTTATCAAATGCTCAGGAGATGGCAGGGAGATCTTACCCCGCTTTCTGGATGAGATGTCCACGCCAACTCAGATGTCACCCATTTTGTGTCCATGAGGGTCTCTGGAGAATAACAGGAGAAAAAGATCAAGGACTTGGTTGAGGATGGAGAAAAAGAAGAGGTCGCTCAGGAAAGGCAAGGACGTAGGAAGCTGATGCCTACCAGTACCTGCTCCTGCACACCCTGAAACCCCCCAGGGATGTCACAGCCCCAGATGCCAAGTCAGGCCCTGCTGGGGGTGGATGCCTGCTGCTGACCCAAGGCCTGGGTTAATGAGGCAGGAGCCAAGCCAGTTCACACACCTACAGGCTCTGCTAATCTCCACACAAAGAGGCCAGCAGGGCCTTTATCCTGGAACAAAGGGCTGTATGCTTCAGACCCTGCTGCCCTGGCCTCCCCTGACTCCATTCCCAGCACAAAGCCCCAACCCATACACTGCCCTAGGGAAGGAGGGGCCAGTTAGCAAGGGCCAGCTTCCAGTCTTACCTCCCACTCAACCACCCAAGAGGAATGGGCAGGAATATTTTGGGGGTGGGGGTGGGAACCACCAAGACTCAGAACCAGCTCCTAGAGAACTAATTCAGTTTTATTGCAACCCTTGAAACAAAGTAATATGTTCTGTCCTGTTACAGATGGGAAAATTGTAACTATGGCATATATACCTTATTTTTCACTTATAAATAAGCCCATATAAATAACACACATAGCATGCATAGGGAAATAAGTGGAGTTTTGTACTATGTAAGACCCATACTAATATGCATTATTTGTGTAAAGATACGGGATTATTTAGGGCAAAGCTGTTAGGACTTGGGCTGAAGGGTAGCTCAAATTCAGGTCTTTCTGACTCCAAAACGAACCCTTTAACTAGGGTGCTGAGTTCCAGATGGTCCTCCGCAAAGTGGGGACAGAGAAAGCAAACTTATGTGTCCCAAACCAGCTGTCACCTCTTCCAGGAAGCCTGCAGGTCAGACTCAAGAAGGGGTTTTGCCCCAGCACTAGTTCTGCATTCTATTTCCCCCTTTCTCCTGGTGTAATCCACAGGGAATTAATTGTGCTGACTGAATTATCTGGATTTGAACCCTCCAGTGGAAGAAAGATGAGCAATTTCCTCCCGTGCAATTTATAGTCTCAGAAAATCTGCTGGAGGGCCAGGAATGATTCTATTCTGACTTCCTGGCACTGACTTTGAGGATTTTTTGGGTGGAGGAGGGAACACAAGAAGGGGCCCATTAATGTTTTCCCCATACATTAGTTGCCCTAAGAACCTGGTTCTGGGCTCTAAGGAGCCAACTCTGCCCCCCTGAAAGTACAGAACTGTGAAAGTTCAGACCTAGAAGCAAGAAAGAGAGGCAAATGGTGCCAAGTTCTTTCCTGTGGTAGCAAGCAGTTTCCTCTCAACTCTGCTTTGGAATGGAGCAGGGTCTCTAACTGTGGGTTGGTTAGGACTAGGGAGTGGAAGCATGGAAAGACTCAGATGCTCCGGTTTCCTGGAGCCTGGATCTGAATGGAGGAAGGTGGCCACGAGACAGGGAGGACAGGGGCTGCCCACGTCCCCTCATAAGGCAGAAGGCAGCGCATGCATGTACTGCTAGGAGTGAGTCGTCCCTTCTCTGGCAACAGCATCTGGTCCTTGGAGGACCCAGTTGCAAGATAGGCTATTTTGCCATGTCGGTTGACACCTCTGCCACACAGACAGACAGACACACGAAAAGGACGCAGAAGTAGGCAGAAGCAGGGTCCAAAAAAGGACGGGTGAGAGGCGGAGCCGAGTGGGGCCTCCCAGGGCGGGCGGCTGAGCGGGCACAGAGATGGAGGGATGCGCGCGCTGGCTGGCTGGGACCAGACAGCCGGGATGGCCGGCGGCGGACTACAAAAGACAGTGAGATGGAGAGACAAGGAGGCCCAAGGAGACGGAGACGGAGGTTGCCAAGTGGCTTCTTCCCCAGCCAACAGCTGGAGTATTCCTGTCCCTGGGATCCGTCCGAGCCAAGCGCGCACCCTCCCCCCTGCGCGCCGGTCCGCCCGCTTGTCTGCCCGCCCGCCGCTGCCCGCCCGAGCCAGCGAGGGCTCCCACCGCTCCGCGCTGCCTCCCTCCTCCCGCTCCCTCACTTCCTTCTGCTCAGCCTGTGCCAAACCCATCTGGAACTGTTTAAACCCAAATATTCAGCCCCCCCCTCCCCCCTCCAGCCAGATTCCTCCACAGTTTAAAACAAGCCCTGCGCTCGCTCGCTCGCTCGGAGGAGGAGGGTGGGAGGCAAGCGGGCTGGAAGGAGGGAGGCTCTTCATTTCTGTTTAATTTCTGGGGAGTGAGAGAGGGAGGGGATCGGCTTGGCCATCGCTCAGCCTTGGCCATCGCTCAGCCTCGGCACATTTTTCCCATTAATGAGGAGAGGACTAGGATTTCGAGTCATGTGTGCCTGAGGAAGGGCTCCGGTCACCCTGGGGTGTGTGTGTGGGGGGGTGTTGCACTTGGTTTCCCCACATCTCTCGGGGAAGAGGAGGGGTCTTCTCCCTTCAGCCTGTGCGGAAAGGCAAGGATCCACTCAGACCCTTAGGTGTCACCTCCAGCAGGAAGCCTGGGCCTTTTGCCTGGGCTGCAAAAAAAGTGGAGTGGGGAGCAGTGTATGTGTGTGTGCGCGCGCCACGGAATCCGTTCAACACAGTCCACCTCTCTCTGCTCTGTGTGTGGTAAGTGCGTGTGTAGACACTTGCTAGAGCAAAGGATAGGAGGAACAGGGACAAAAGAGAACCGAGTGAGCATCCCTGAACTCACTCTGCTGCCTACTGCACCTCATTCCTTGAGTCCCCTCCCTCGGACCCATGAGGCTATGAAGGGAGACCCAAAGGTTGCAGGTCATGCTGCAGGCACTGGGTTCTGTCCGGCAAGAACTCCAATTGCCTCCCAAAGCCAGCAGAGATGTGGGCGCCAGGCCTGGGTCCTGCTGGGGCTCACCCGTTGATGCTCACAGTGAGGGAAGCAACACCCTCTTCAGGTTTCTAGCTGGCCACAGTGAGCAGCCACGTGGCAGCTGCTGGGTGGCTCTGACCTGTGTGCAGAAACACACAGATGCACACACGGCACCCAATTCCCAGGGGCTGGGCGCATTCCCCACCACTGGGGCAAATCGACAAGTCAACACATATGGTGAACAAAAACACACAAAGCCACAGCCGCTGGCAAGCACACATCAGCTTCACACACAGCACTGGCCTGTCTTCCTTAGACACATGGATGCATATGGTACAAACACATTAGTCTTCCTTCAACACTCATAGACGGTGAACCTATCTCACATGCAGTTTTGTCTCACCTTTCACATGTGTGGTTCTCCTGAGACATATGCATACACAAAGGGCAAACACCCTCAACAGTACATTCTCCTTACTCACTCAATTGCACACACAATTGCCAGCTACAATTCACAGTCTTTAGTGTAGTCAAGTGCAAACACAAACAGACTTGGTGGCCTGCCCTTACACAGCCACTCACTAATTACCAGCAGCAAACACACAGGCGCCCAATCGCACTGCGTAGGACACGGTGGCCACACAAGGATGCAGATACATTGTAAGCATCAACAGTGAGAATTTGTTAGGAAGTATCCTCCATATACATGTAACATTAAAATACACACCCCTCCCAGGCCCGCACACAAGTTATCTCTACAGGGCACTTTCAAGTAAAGTGAAGGTGAGCTTGGGAGAAAGCAAAAAAAAAAAAAAAAAAGGCTAGCCTTCCCTTACTCCCTGGTCATCTTCCTGCCCCTCCAACTTTGTAGCCCCTCTTGCAAGAAAGTAGAGGTGCTGGGACAGTCCTGAGCAGGGACACAGGGCAGAAGACCATGGTAGCCAGCAAGGTGAAGGCCTCAGACTGGCTTCCAGCTGCCCTGGCTCCAGTAAGAGCTGTCAGGTCACAAGGCTGGGGGTGGAGCAGGGGCTTGAAGATGATTCCAGGTGTGGCTGGGCGCGGTCTCCCAGGTACAGCCCCTGCCCAAGCAGCAGGCCACTTCCCTGCCAGCTCAGTGGCACTGTCTCAAGTACCTAGGAGCCCTCAAGGACAGGGGAGCAACAGGAAGAGATCTGGCCCCAGGTGCTGTGGGCAACTTCCCCAAGCTGGGAGGCCAGCAGGAGGAGAACTGCGTGGGCACATGTCTGCAGCCTTCACTGGACTGCCCTGACATAGAGGTATCAGATGAGAGCTGCCACCTGTCCAGGAGAGGCACACACAGCTTCAGGAAGCTGCCAGATCCCACAGCACAGCCCCTTGCCTTAGGAGTAAGGGCATCAGGTGGCTGTTATTAGATGTCATTGAGTCAACTAAGACCCGATGAACAACAGCTCGGAACCTTGCCCTATCCTGCCACCTCTGCAATTTGCCAAGCTCAGGCCCACTGTTGTAGTTGATGTGTCAGTCCATGTCTTCAAGGATGACATAAAGATCTGGAGAACCAAAAAAAGATCTACAGACAGATGCAAGCTCCCAGCCCAAACTCCAGACAGTCATTGTGCCAAGCTTTGAGGTGGCAGGAAAGACCATGCTCTGGGGCTTGGCTAGCAGCTTGTGAGGGGGCAGGAGGGCACCCTCAAGTCAATGGCTGCAGAGAAAAGGAGAAAGCTCCATGCTCCCCTGCATGGTCTCCCACCATTGTCCCCTGTGTCAGCCAAGCAACCCACAGGATATACATCCCTAGTCCTTCCTCATTCCCCAGACCTCCTTGTGTGTCAATATGAATACACACATGTGCCAGCCTGCGTATCGGGTCAGCCTGAGGAGAAAGGGGCTTCCAGGGGACCTCATCCTCGTCACAGGACCTGGGGGCTCTATCTCCCAAGGCCCTCATCAGACACTCTCCCTTGGCTCCCAGGTCTGAGAAGGAGGTAGGGAGGGGAGCATCTCAGAAGGGAACACATTTTGTTTTTCATTCTTTCCCTCAGATCCTGGGGATTTATAATTAAATAAACCTGAGAGAGGGAGGTGGAGGGAGGAAGACACACAGGTCAGGGAGCCCAAATGTCTCAGTGCTCATCCATGCCCACCACCCCAGACCTAGCCCTGCCAGCCAGCCAGAGAGACAGAGACACAAGACAAACCCTTCGTGATCCCTTCCCTGGAGTTCTGGCCACAGTGGGCAGAAGGTGCCGGGGAGGCACTACCCAGGGTTTGCCCTTGGGCCAGGGGGACTCTCCCACCCATCAGGTGCCCAGCTGTACCCAGTCTCAGGCTTTCCCCACCCCCCACCCTCCCAGCTGCCAATCCCGACAAACCAGTTTGACTCAGCACAACAGGCAGGGCTACAATTTTCAAACTATGCAGGCCTGGTGATTCAGCCTCTTCGTGCTGTTTAATTAGTGGAAGGCTGGGTGGCGGAGGCCATGCCCGTGGCAGCTCTGCCTTTAGTTTGCTGCCGCGGTGTCCACTGTGTCAGCGGCAGTGGTGGCAGCGTCAGCTCTGGCTAAAGGGAGGCCAGTGACAAGCAAACTGGTTCCCCAAATACCTGCAGCTGTCCCTCCTGGGCAGCTCTCAAGTGCAAGCTCATGACAAACAGGGATGTGGTGGTGGTGGCACCAGAGGCAACTTAACCCAGTGAGCAAGCCACAAAAATGCCAGGCCCGTGGTCCCCTTCTAGTCACCATCCTCTCAGTGAGAAAGTGACGCAGCTCACACTCCCTCTGACCCTCAGAAGTCATCTCCACAGCTTAGCTGGAAGGGGATCTAGTGACTATTTCTTTTCCCAAAAGGTGTGTTTGCGGCAGGGACCTTCCCATTATATCTCACATATAAGAGACTCCCAGGTCTGGGCACCCTGCCTTACCTGAGACCCTGGTCCTGATCCTGGAGGATCATGGTTTGGGGGAGCTGAGAGACATTACCCAAAAGGACAAGTAGTGACAAGGGAGCTCATGCTTCTCTGTGTCTACAGGTAAATCGGAAGTCATTTGTATGGGAGAGAGTTTTTAAATGGAAGAATGTTTACTTAGTCAGGGGACAAGTAGAGGCCTTAGTCCCATCCACATTGGAGCTTGGTGAGATTGAAGCATGCAGGGAGGGACGGAAATCAGGTTCTAGGCAGCATCTAAGTAGCAGGCACAGGATGGGAATCATGGTCCGTGAGGCCTTAGTGTAATACAGATGGCGAGAACCAGGAGGTTGCCCTGGGCCAAGGACAAACCAAATTCTGGCCAAGCTAAAAGAAGGCTGAGGGTGAGGCTGGTAGCTATCCATAAAACTCAAGGGCTCAACAGATCTGTGGTGCCCAGAGTCCCACATAGTCCCCCCTCTTTGCTCAGTGTAGGATCCTCAAAGTCCTTCCAACTTGCCCTTCGACCTCAAGAATGGTGAGGGGGCTGCAGGCAGGATTTAGAGAACAGCTGCACAGTGCACAGTGACCCAGCTCCTACTACCCTTTCGCTCCCTGTGGAGTTGTAGGGAGACAGTGAGAAAGAGCGACAACTTCTCCCCGACCTTCACACACATCTTACAGGAAGTGGAGCCCTCTGGGTGCCTGGTCCCTCCCCTCCCCCACCATTCCTTTTCTAACTTCCCTCAGGACAAGGGCACACACCACAGCTACCAGCATCCTCCGGGTTTCACTTCTCCCCAGGGAGCAGACCCCAGGGTGTTAACAGCAATGATAGCTAATCCTTGAATAACAATAACTGTGGGCTAGGCACTTTACACATACTAATGATCCAATGAGGTTGGTGCCATTACTATCCCCATTTCGCAGGGCGGGAAAACTGGAGGATCTGGCTTGGGGCAACACCCTGGGGCATTTCTGTTTCTCTTTCTCTTTCACACAAACTGAAGACCACAGGGTTTAAGGCATGGCAACCTTGAATGGAAGCCATTACAACTTCCTGGGGCAGCCCCAAAGTGGCTGCCCCTTTTATCTGTACTCTGCTTCCTGGTCAGCCACTCAGCTTCTTGGTCCCAAAGACTCCAGCGCCTAGCTAGGGCAAGGCAAAGTGTAAGACTGGAAAGAGCTTGGAAGGAGTCTTTTACAAGGAGAGATTATTAAGGGATGAGAAGAAAGAGAGGAAGAAGGGGTGAGCCTACTGGTGTTGTAGCCTTTGCTCACCTGATTCCCCCCTTCCCCATGACACTCTGAGTGCCCACCACATCCCCCAAGGGTCCAGGGGCCTTGCACACACAGGTGACAAAGCCATGCGAATGTTTAAAGACAAGTATGCTGAGACACAGGCACAGACCTGGGAACAAACTTAGCTTACATCCTTCAGGCATTCAACAACAAAACCCCGCACTGGTTTCTCAAGCCAGTGTATGATCTTATCCCACACGTGTGGGTGAGTGCACGTGAGTGTGTGAGACTGTGGGCGTGACCTCGGTGTGTCTGTCTGAATCTGCATGTGTCCATCCGTGTGAATCCATCTGTCAGCATCAGTGGACACAGAGATGAAAGGAGTGTTGGGGATCATAGGAACCTTTTCATCCCTGGAGAAAAATAGAAAGCACCAGAAGATGCCTATTTCTCTGAACTGTGTTCATTTTTCCTTCCAACCTTTAAGTGTACCCATTGTGAACATATGAGCAAACGCAATTACACAGAATTGAATTTTTTGTTCCTAAACTAAGAAAGCAACTACGTTTGTTAAAGATGCTTAAAATACATACTGCTTATATTCCAATTTCTTGCAAACTTCTGTGGTGTCTCCCCCTCACACACCCACATTAACAAGGTTCTCTGCTCTCCGCTCTTTTAATGGCTTCCAAAATTTTTTGAAACAGTGTGGGTCTCTCCATTGTTTGATATCTGTATGGTGCCTCTGTCTCCCGCAGCCTTGTGTCAAGTGGCATGTGTGTGAGCTCTCCCACCAGAGCCAACAACATTTGGGCTGTTCATAGTCTTTTGAAGTTGGAGCTGCCCCCTAAGCAATCTTGGCAGGTTTTACACAACCCATCGGGGAGTCAGGCCTTTTCCCTCAGGTTAGCGAGGAACGCACCCGGCTCCTGTGCTACCTGGGGCGAACCCCACAACTTCAGAGGTTCACTGGAGACCCGAACATTTGGGGTTTCCTGCTGGAAGGGGAAGGGTAGGCTCGAAGAGCAGAGCTGGGTGCAACGCCCGTGCTAACAGCACCTCATGTGTATTTGGCGCTCGGTAAACCATAAACAATAACCGGCCCCCGCCTCTCCACCCCCGCAGCCACAGCCCCTGACAAAGCAGGGTGCAAACCTTCAACACTTTCACAGTTCATGCCAACGGGTTTCTTACCAACCTCTGCGCCCAACCTGGGTAGTCTGGCGTCGCCCCACCCGCAACAGCCCAGCAGCCGTCTCGGGGCCCCCCACACTTCCTCGCCTCTCGAAGGTGCCAAGGACCCAGCTTCTCTGTGGTGAGAGCGGGGTGCTTCCACAGAAGCTCACAGCGGGGCTGTGACTTCGGGGACCCCAGCGCTAGCTGAGATGCCTGTGACCAGGGACTGCGGACCACCAGCCTGGGTGGGAGCCAGCTGGACGCTGCGCGGAGGCTCCGGGGGCGTCCTGCCTACCCAGCCTCCGGGCTCTGGAGCAGGCGCCAACTGGGGAGCCTCCTTGGACCTGGTGCTCCAGCGCACTGACCGGCACCGCGGGCCCTCTCCGCCCGGCTGGGGCGCCCCGCACCCTAATCCCTCGGGTGCGTCCTCCGACAGCGCTCACCTTCCAGCGCCTGGCAGCTGGTGGGTAGCAGCAGCAGCAGCGGCAGCAGCAGCGAAAGCAGCAGCAGGAGCCCCGGCGGCGGTGGCGGCGGCCGGCGGGCTCGGGCCATGGCCGGGACGCGCTCTGGGAGCCGAGCCGGGCCGCGCCGCGCCGGCGGGGCTGTGAGCGGAGGGAAAACGGTCCCTTCGGTAGGCTCCGGGCAAGGTTCGCGTACGCTCCAAGGAGGTCCCGGCAAGGGGTTGCGATACAGGCGGGTGGCTCCGAGGCGGCTCCCCAACCTCGGAGATTCTTGGGGATGTGAGAATCTGGACGGACCGGTCCAGGAGGATCCGGGGAGCTCGGTGTCGGGAGACTCGGGAGGCGGACCGGGGCAGGAAGGCGCAGGTGGTCGTGGTTCAGGATGCACAGTAATCCGGCAGCCGGCTGCGGGCCCGACTTGGGTCCGGGGTGCGCGCGCCGTCCGAGGGTCTGAGCCGGGATCTTGCTGCGCCGCTCACGTACTCACTTGTGCTGTCCCCGGCGCTGGCGCGGCCGCTCTGGACGAGGGGGGCGGGTCAGACAGGCTGTCTGTCAACATCAGGCCCCTCCCCCGGCGCTAGGCCGCCCACTCACAGACCGCCAGGCCCGCTGGTTCGGCCTCGGGAGTGCTCTCCCGGAGTTCAGTTGGCGGCGCCTCCAACAGGCCCTCCCTGAGGGTCTCTGAGTCCTAAATGGGCGGAGCCAAAAAAAGATGAATTAGATTGGGCGGAGCTATACTGTCTATCAGCAGGAGAGCCCCGCCCCCTGCCGCCCATTGGCGATTAGTAAACGAATCTGAATCCGAGGTGCCAACCACATACAACGAGCGGGAGGCGCCCCCCTGTGGCCCGCACGCACCCTGGAACGCCCCCACGTGGCAGTCTTTTCTCCAGGCAAATTGAGTGATGACCCCGAACGCAGAGCTTAAGCAATACTGGGACATCTCTTGGAAACAAATCAAAGAAGATATATGCTAGAAACAGAGCTTCTCTTCGTCCATTCATTCATTTATTCACTAAGCCATATACTTAATTGCTCATTCAGCAAATATTTTTGATCGCCCACAGTTTTCCAAAGACTGCAGTAATTGCGGGAGCTACAACAATGAATAAGACAGAGGTTTGTGCTATCTTGGAACTAGCTAAGTGGTGGAGGCAGGTGTTAAACAAGTCACTACAGTAGAGTATAACAAGTATTATTAGAGAGGAATAACAGAGAGCTGTGGAAGCACACGTGAGTGGGACGATTATGTCTGGCCCTGAGGAAATGACATTCAAGCTGAAATATGAAAGATGAGTAGAAGGTGAAGGATGTGTTTTAGGACTGAGGAGGGGGTCTGTTCTAAGCAGAGAGACTCTCTTTGTCTAAAGACCCAGAGGCAGAGAAAAAGTGACTCACCGTGGGAGTATGAAAGGAGTTGAGAATGTAGAATTTAAGGCGGACAGAGGCTGAAAGGAGGCTTAAGAGTAAGTGTGAGGGACTAGAGGATTTAAAATTGCTTTCTAAACTCTTCACAAAGTCTTCTTGAGAGCTAGGGTTTGAAACGAGGCTTTACCCTTTAGGGAGGATGAATGGAGTAGGTAAGGGTGGAGCAGAGAGACCAGTTTGGAGGCTGAGAAGGGTTTGAGTAGGGGGAAAGGAAGATGGCTTAGGCGACGATGACAGCTGTGGGTATGGAGAGAAGTGAGAGGTTTTAAATGTATTTAAGAAGCAGAGCTGGAGTTTGTGACTGAGTGGTTGACAGAGATGTAGACGGCACAATCAAGGGAAACATCTAGGTCTTTGATCTGGGCAAATAGACTTCTGCCCTGTTCCTTAAATAAACATTTACAAAGTGCAATAAGTACTCAGAAACAATAGCTCTCACTTATTAGAAGGTAGCTGTTAGTATATCCATATTTTACGACAAAAGTAAGACTCAGCAAGGCTTAGCGACTTCTCCCAAGTTACGTAGCTAAAGAGTTCATTCCTCTTCACTTGAAACCTAACGACCACCTACCAGTCTCCATGGAGTCAGTTCTGACCCCCTTGGTGTCTAGCGTAGAACTATGTTTCAGACTGGAGGTACTCTTCTGGAGTTCAGTGGGCAACACCTCGCTTTCAGCCACAGGTTTAGGTGGGTTCTTTGAAAGGAGATTGCCAGACTTTTCTCCCAACGAGTATCTGGGAGAATTAGACCTGTCAACATTTTGAACAGCAGTCCTGATGGTTAATGTTATGTGTCAACTTGGCTTGGCCATGATTCTCAATATTGTGAAATTCTGCACCATTTTATGATCTCACGTTCAATATATATGGATGTTCTTCCAAAGTGTCTTTTTCCTTCTTTCTCTCTCTCCCCCCTCCCCAACACCCCATACATATGACTTATACATATGTTATCACCTGACTCTGATTTTTGAATGAGAATCAGAAGCCTGCCACCTGACCAATAGAGACACAAAGTCCCAGCAACTTGCCATCTGATCTGCTAATGTTGGTGCAACCACAGGAGCCAGTAGAAGCCTGATTCCCAACTCATGTATTTGGGACTTACCTGCCTGCACAACTGCATGAACCATCTTCAATAGCCTGCATTATGCAGATGACACAACCTTGCTTGCTGAAAGTGAGGAATACTTGAAGCACTTGTTGCCTGCAGAAGATCAAAGAATACATGTTTCTATATGGATTGCATCTCATTGTTAAGAAAACAAAGATTCTTGTCACTGGACTGATAGGCAGCATCGTGATAAAAGAAGAAAGGTTGAAACTGTCAACAACTTTATCTTACTTGGATATACAGTTAACATCCTTGGGACCAACAGTCAGGGAATCAGGAGACGTTTTGCACTGGGAAAGTGTCTGCACTTAGAGACCCCTCCAAATTACTGAGGAGTAACGATGCCAGTTTGAGGACTAAGGTGCATCTGATTCAGGTCCTGGTCTTTCTTGATTATTTGCTATGCATCTGAGAGCTGGACAATGAATAAGGATGACTGAGGAAGAATTGATGCCTTTGAGCTGTGGTGTTGGGGAAGAACACTGAAAGAACAAACAAATGTGTTTTGAAGAAAGCGCAGCCAGTGTGCTCCTTGGAGGCAAACATGATAAAGCTTCATCTCACATACTTTAGGCATGTTGCTAGGAGAGGCTATTCCTTGGAGAGGGACAACAATTTTGGAAAGAGGGAGGGTCAGCAAAAGAGAGGAAGACCCTCAAGCAGGTAGATTGACACAGTGACTGCTGTCATAAGTTCTAGTGTGTCAGGAAGTATGAGGATGGCACAGGATAGGACAGGGTTCAGATCTGTTTATAGGGTTACTGTGAGTCGTACTCAGCTTGATGGCACCTACAACAACATATATATATATATATATATATATATATATATATATATATATATAATTTAGTTACTTATTTTTCAGTACAACATAGATTTTAATGAACCATGAAGATCATCCTCATGGCCCAGGTGGTAGTCCTTTCACATTGTGGATGATGGTATAGCTCCTGTCATCCTTGAACTCCACGCGCACCTGCGTGCACTGTCCTTGCGAGGCGGTCCTGCCTTGGTGACCCTGGCCAGTTTGATAGGCTGCATGTGGCTGGTAACCATGATGGCTGTGCACTGGCGGCCAGGCAGAGTGGCTATGTATATTTTTAAAGAGTGCACCCAAAGACAAGCAGTTTGAATCCACCAACTTCTCTGCAAGAGAAAGACAGACACTCTCCTCCAGTAAGATTTAAAGCCTCTAAAAATTTGCTGGAGGGTTATGACGAGTCGGTTTCAACACGACAGCAATGAGTTGAGTTGAGGGGCACAATGGCTGCATGCTTGGCTGATAACTGAAGGGCAGCTTTAACTCACGAGTCATTGTTCAGAGGAAAGATGTGGCAGTCTACTTCCATAAAGATTATGGCCTGGCAAAATTGGAAAACTATCTGCAGAAGACTCAAGCAAGACCCGCACCTCACTCCATATACAAAAATGAACTCAAGGTGAATCATGGACCTAGGACTAAAACCAAGACTATAAACTTCATTAAAGAAAAGCTTGGAAGAACTCTATTAGTCCTAATTCACAACATAAACAGTCTTCCAAGTATCCTGAAAAACCTAGAACCAGGAGAAGATAAAATAGATGAATGGGACCTTCTAAGAATCAAATCCCTATGCACATCCAAAAACTTCTCCAACAGGGTAAAAAGGGAAGCAACAGACTAGGGGAAAGTATTTGGTAATGACATATCAGATAAGGGACTTATATCCAGAATTTATAAAATACTGGAGCACCACAACAAGATAAAGGTAAATAATCCAATTGAAAAACGGGCATAGGATATTAACAGACACTTCACCAAAGAAGACGTTCAGATGGCTAACAAGCTCATGAAGAAATATTCAAAATCCCTAGCTTTAAGAGAGATGTAAATCAAGACAACTATGAGATATCATCTCACCCCAGTCAGAATTGCAAAATTTAACAGAACAGCAAGTAACAAATGCTGACGAGGTTGTGGAGAAACTGGAACCCTTATTCACTGTTGGTAGGAGTGTAAAATGGTACAACCACTGTGGAAAGCGGTGTGGCGCTCTCTCAAAAAGTTGCAAATAGAGATACCATTTGACCCAGCAGTTCCACTACTGGGAATACACCCTAAAGAGACCATAACTGCCATCCAAATAGATATATGCACACCCAGGTTTATCACGGCTTTATTCACAATAGCAAGGAGCTGGAAACAATCTAAGTGCCCAACAACAAACGAATGGAAAGAGAAGCTGTGGTATATTCACACAATGGAATACTATGCTGCATTGAAAAACAAGGAACTCATGCAATATTATTAAAAACGGGTGACTCTGGAGGACATTATG